CAAGTAAGCTCGATAAGATTCGTTCGCTTTGAGATTAACTTGGTTTATTGGAGTGAGCCTTTTTTGCAAATAAGTTTATAAGAGTAAACCTTTGCAAGCAAGTAAGCTTTTTATGTTATGATTCGTTTTGGGATTAACTTGGATTATAAGAGTACGCTGCATAAGACTTATAAGACTGGTTGAGTCGTTCGCATAACTTCTTTGAGGTCATTGAAAACGACTCTGTTCTTGAGATTGTTTTCATTTCAGTTGTTGACGATATTCGCAAATTTCTCTTTATGTTCAATAACATAAATTTCCGCACTTCAATGGGATATTGTTAAAAATCCTGCAAGTTTTTGGCTTAGAACATTAAGATATCACTAATTGCTACTGATCAAATTACTGATAATGCTATTGATTACGAATATAACAATAGTGGTGATGATAATAACAGTAGCAGTAGTTCTGGTGCTGATGGCGATAGACATTGCGATTTCGTTGATATTCGTTTGTTTGTTTGCAGAGGTTGCGAGATGCAACTGTACGAGCGTTCCAAGAGCAGGAGTTAAGACCTCAGCCTGAGCTGGTTCTACGATCAACTGAGGTCGTCGATCCACATGATTATGACGACAGAAATCTTGACGAAAATCATGATCGCACCAAAGATTACGAACAGACAGATAGTAATGAGGTGAATACTTAAAATTTTCTCGGTTACCTCTCGTTGAATGGTCATTTCTAACATCAGTAACATAGCGTTTATAATCGTTCACCTCTAGGACCACTTCAATGTTCTATATTACTAATCATTTGAATGTACTTTTCCATCGTCGCTATAATCTCATGAACTTCTGTTTTTCGTCGAACTCGAAATTGTGGCAATGCAAAATTTCAGGATTTGTTCAAAATCAGCTCAGCAGCGGATATATATCCATGGATGACATCAACAAGTAGTCATGAAGTGTCCACCTCAACGGCAAAGTCCTCATCGACAAGACATTCCTTATTATCTCAATCTCAATCAACACCCGCAAACAAAACAACAACACCCACAACAACAACAACAACTACAACAGAATCTCCTAAAATCATTGACGAAAGACAATCGCAGCAGCTGACTGATGTGCCACCATATTCGATAAGCGCTCGACCCATAACTCAATCAGTCACCACAACAACAACTAGTTCTGTTCTGACCACCTCAAGTGCTGGAATCACTCCACTTGACAATATAACATCAACTACTGAATCAACAACGATTCAGCCTACTACACGATCAATTACAAAACCGAATATTCCAATTGAGGTGCCTCTGAGCGATGAGCTGATGAATCCTGATGATCATGATGAGGGCGTTCCAAAGGTTGCTTTCATTCATTTCGGAAATCGATTTGATTGTTTTAGATCGTTGGTTTGAGTGATTCTGCTTTATCCGCAATTGTTCTGGCAACTATATTTTCCTGATAAACCGTGAACTTAAATACCGACTATCATAGCCTAAAGGGACCCAAAATTGTTCATCCGTAAGATTATTCTTCATTAAAGGATTGTAAAACGTTACGAGAGAACGGTGCCGAAAAATCAGGTATTTATCGGTTATGGTTGCCCAAAATTGGAAGTTTTGAGGCCTACTGTGATATGGAGACTGATGGTGGAGGATGGACTATAATACAACGGTCGGTTGTGAAAACATTCCTTGTTATGAATAGTATGAGTGGCAAAAGAAATTCGAGAATTTCTTATCAAATGCTTAGAATCAGATGGAATTACGTTGAATTCTAAATGACGCATATTGCTTATTAAGGCGATTGAATGGCCTGGTGTATTTCGCGAATCGAACATGGCAAGAGTATGAAGACGGTTTCGGAAATTTAAGTTCGTCCTACTGGCTTGGACTGAAAAAGGTATTCGTTTCCTCAGTTTTGCCCAAATTACGTCACAAGTCGATCACATTATCCTCAATATTGCTGCGCACGTGCGATTTGCGTTGTTGTTGTGACTATCACTAGCGATTTCAGTTGTTATTGAGGGAAGTTCATGATGGGATTTGAGTGGTTTATAAATAATCTGAATGCATAAATATTTGTAACCTTCAAACATATACTTCTTAGAAACATAATATTATCATGATTGATCTACATGAATTATTCACGTCACAATATGAAATAAGACGAAAAACAGATGAGGATATGAAAAGTTGCGTTGTTTCATTGAAACCAATAAATGTTTCGTTATTTTTA